TTTGCAGATGTCATTAAGATAAGGTCATTCTGGAGTAGGGGGAGGCCCTAAACCCAATCACTGGTGTCTTTATAAGAGAAGAGCAAGGGAGATTTGGCCACAGAGACAGACACAGAGAAGGACTACAGAGGCCAAGATCGGAGTGACACCACTGGAGCCAAGGAACGCCAGTGAGTGCAGTGCTTCTGTGTGGCCTTTCTAGCATGGTCTCTTAACTCCCACAAAGTGAGAGGCTGGGACTATGCAAATGAGGTGTGTCCAACTCTTGCAGCGATTCAACAGCAACCATGAAAATAAGTTGCCTGTGGCCTTCCAAGGGGATTGGTCAGTTTTGCCATCCCGCTAGGCTTAAAAGACCTAATCCCAAAGAGGCTGTAGGGTTGGGAAGCTGACTACCGTCAAGAAGAAGAGCCAGGAATGGAGTACATCCTTTGAACCCGGGGTCCCTGGGCTGAGAACCTCCTAGACCCAGGAGACAGAGCTGTAACACTGGACATGGTACAAGATGGTGGAAGATGGCATGAGTGGTGAGAGCCGTGAGCCCAGCACAGGACGGCCGCGGAGACTTCCCAGCCCATGCAGTGAGCAGCTGCAATGGGCTCGCAGACCCACAGAGCAAGAGATAAGGAAGGACGTTTTCCCAGAGCCTTCAGAAGGAGCACAGTCCTGCTGATGCCTCGACTTCAGTGATCTGCCCTCCATAACTGTCAAAGAATAAAGGTGTGTCATTCTAAGCCCCTAGTTAGTGGGCGTTGGTTACAGCAGCCACAGGAAACTCAGGCACAGTCCAGTCCCCACAGTGCCTTCTCCACATCCACAATGTCTTCTCAGCGCTTTCAGCTTCATCCGGAACCTTCTTGAGTCAGGCATGGCACATGGCCCAAAATGGATCATAAACTCCCCTCTGGAAAATTTGGCATAATCTACTCAGGAACAAACAAATGTCATAGGAGAAACACTGTAAGGGAGAATTAGCTGTATCTTGTATAATAAAGACCCTGAGAAAAGGAGTTGGGCTCACTGCTGAGGCTGGGTGCCAACGAGTCCTGCCAATGAGCCCAGGAGGTAAAGCCCTATCATCTCCACTTTATAAATGAGGAACAGAGACGTTGAGTGATGTGTTCTAGGCCACACAGCTAGAACGGGGTAGCACTGGGATCCGACCTCAGGCCCTGCTCTTTCTATTAAGGGTTTCCAAATGGGGGTGGGGGAGAAGCCATGATTGATGACACAATGGCTGGCCACCTACCAGCCCCAAAAGCCCACACAGGGCCCCCTCATGCTCACTAAGCTCCAGTTTCCTCATCTGCCCAGTGGACGCGACAGGTCATTCTCGGGAACCAACACAAGGGTCGAGTTAGGGGGATGTCTGCACAGTGTTAGAGACACAGGCATGAAGGACTGTCACTGCCAGCATTCAGACGATTCCAGTGAGGAAGCTAATTGAAACACGTCCGTGGGGACTGGGTTCAGACAACCTCGGATCACCTAAACCAAACCACACCCACTGCCATTGAGTCAACTCCGACTCACGGTGCCCCTAGAGGACAGAGTAGAGCTGCCTCAGAGGGTTTCCAAGGCTGCAATCTTCACGGAAAAAAATCACCAGATCTGTCTCCCAAGGAGTCACTGGGTGGGTCCAACTACCAACCTTTCGTCCGGGAGCCAACAGCTTGCTACTCTAGACCAGAGCTCTTCAGGAGTCTGGACAACCTGCCCACCTCCCAGAGCCCCTTGACTGCCTCTTTAAAACCAGGATAACCCTAGGACAAAGGTGACCTGAGGCCCAGCAGAAGTGGTCAACAGCTGTCTCCAACTTGAGAGGCCTCTGGAATTGCTTATGGGGCACACTGATGCCTTTCAAAGAAGCTTTCCAAAGAAACGTCCACTTCATAGCACTGGAGAGCCAGAAACCCCACCACTAGATGCCATTCTCAAATCATCACTGCCCCTCCTCCACTGCTGGTGGGGCTGGAAGACGGTGCAGTTGCTGTGGAAAGCCACCACAGGCCCAGCCACTCCAGTCCCAGGAAGACACTCAAAGAACTGGCAGCAGGGATGTAAACAGACACCAGGTCCAGCACTGTTCACTGCAGCACTGTCCACAACAGGTGGGAACAAGCCAGGTGGCCCTCAGCAGGTGGGTGGGTGCACACAACGTGGTCCGTCCACACAATGGAATCTACTCGGCCACAGACAGACATGAAGTTCTGACACACGCTACAACACGGATGCACTTTGAGCACGTGTTGCTGAATGAAAGAAGTCAGTCACAAAGGGACACATATTGTATGATCCCACTGACATGGAACAGGCAAAGCTGTAGTTCACTAGTGGCTGGCGAGGGGTGTGTAGGAAGGGGGAGGCGGGGAGGGACTGCTGGGGGCACTGAGTGTCTGTGGAGGCTGATGGGAAGTCTAGGAATAGTGGGGATGACTGCATAACCACCGTCCCCTGCAAATTTTCTTGTCTAGATCTCACCTGCCACCCTGACCTTCAAAGCGGAAAGAGACAGGATGGCCACTAGATGACCTGTGCTCCACTTTAAACACACTGCCTCAGGACCGTCCAAGAATCACACTGAGTAACACATGCAAAGGTTCAACAGCCAACATGGTCTGTGGTCAGAATTTATAAAAACACGTTGTGGCACAGTTACAGGACATTGGCTGTCCCCAGGCTGGAACGTGACCTCAGGGATGCACTAAGGAA